CGCGGGAGTGGAAGATGGGATGGACGAACGGAATGTCTTGCGATCGGTCGTAGAGTCCACCTCGTCGACAACGATATTGGGCGAGACGTTTGGAGATATTCGAGCAGAGGACGATGAGGGAGGGTTGGAAGGTAATGGTAATGACGTCGTTTGTAACTTGAGCGAACCCGAAGGACTTCTCCAATGCGTCTGCGGCGTCGAAGGTCGTTTCTCAGGGGACGGAGGAAGAACTACTGGTTGAGGTGGTGGGGGCTCCGGGACACTCTCTGGTTCCGACCTAAGCTGCTCCACACTCTCGTTCCCCGTCGTACTCCCCTCCCCAAGCTCGTCGTCGTCGTCCGTCCCATAGATCGTCCCCAGTTTGGGCATCGGCATCCTCACAAACTTGCCCGCCGTTACAGCCGAAAAATGGATATTCATATAACTCGTCAAAATCCGCGTAGGGTTGAGGTTGATAAACCTTCTTTCAAACATGGCGTAAAAGATGTTCTCAAGCCATTCATGGATGTGTCTTGGGTGGGGCGGTTCCTCTTCGACAAGGTGCAAGGAGCCCCGAGCGGCGTTGTTCGTATGTGATGACGGCGGCCGACCATCGGCGGAGCGGGATAATGGAGGCGCTTTTGAAGCATTAAATGGTTCAGCCGTTTCTGATGTGTTGGAGGCGTTGGAAGTCGAGGTGTGAACCGATGATCCCGAACCAGAGGCTGACTGTGTTTGCTCCTGTATTGGCGGCTGTCGGTCACCGTTCCTCCGCCCCTCCGGATCACTGTCTTGTATCAGCAGGGTTAACGCTTTGCGCGCTCTCGACGTTAGCGTCTTGCTGGAGGTCCGTATGTTGTTATTAAACTGGTAGAGAGTTTTCGAAGGGAGGTTGGTGGACGGAGGAAGGACGTATGATGAAAGCGGGGGTAGTCCTTGGGTCGATGGTCGAAAGTGTATCTGGGTATGGTCTGGTGTCTGAGTTTCGGGAGTAATAGCTAGGGGCTGGCGGGATGCCGAGGGTGGCGACGAAAAGAACTTTTTCCGCTCCTCAGCCGTAAGAGGTATATATGGGAACAAGATATCTGCAAGGTAGATCAAAATGAATATAATCGACCCGATTCTTGGAATGAATGTTATCAGCTCATCGATTGAAGCGCACCGTTGAACAAAAAATCTACAGCCCCGCCGGGTTTCAAAACGCGAACGATTTCCTGTAACACCAAACAAGTAAGGTATTAGTCATGGTGCACACCCTCGGTCTGAAACCAAAGCAACGCACAGATATCACATGGTCCCACTATGGTCCAGGATAACGGAACGAGACAGGATATTCAAGGGTTAGAGAAGGTCCCAGGAGACCTGCGGTAACCGCAGCGAACATGAATGCGTACCTGATCTTCGGGAACCGCCATTTCAAGCGCACGAGCGTACACGTAGTCAAAGGAACCATCTTCAAACGGTAATGGGTCTGTAAGACTAGGCATTTCGCAAAGGAACATCGACAAAGGCACGAGGGGATCGAGTAAGCGCCCAAGGTAAATCCGGGATGAGCGGACAAGACGTACAAATTCCCGTGCACCCATTGAATCCTATCGGCAACGTCGGGATGGAGCGACAGGTCCGGTTGGATATCGACAAGATCAAATCCGACAAACTGGGATTCCTGGAGGGTAAGAAACAAGTTGAGCAGGGTTCACCGATCGAGGAGCCGAAAGCCTCACCGTCCACACCCTGGAGGCTTGCATTATCCAAACTAGACCCCAAGAATTGTTGATGTCAGACGCGTCGTCGCACACCAGGGACGCCTGTGTATACGTGGGGGTAGAGACGACTCACCAGCATGTCCACAACCTAAAAGGCATAAAACGAGTGAACACGAGAGACATCTCGAGACGAGGCTTGGACTTACCAACGTCGAGACATCGTTTTGGATGTTCCTTGAAATCGAACCCAGAAGGTCCGTTACGCGTATTCCAAAGAGCAATATGGTCGACCGTATCGCTGGAGAAAATGCGTAATAGGTCAATGTCAATATAGTCCATTTCGCGACGAGGGCTCACATATTCAATGCAATATCGTCATAGCACATTGGGTACGGTGCAATCTCCTTTGGAAGACCATGCCGCCGTGTACCATGCGACATCGCAAAGGGCTGATCGCGTTTCCCGAATGCCTGGTTCATCAGCTCTCGATTCCTCTGGCTCGTCGCATTGGGTACCACGGCAATACCGGCGTGAACACTTGAACGCGAAGACGACGGTGAGACTCCAGCCTGGTCGGCAGCGGCATTATTAGCGACTGGGTTCCAAGAGTTGTGTACGCCCAGGTAGGCCGCTCCCGACTGAGGCATATTATACTATCGTCTACCCGAGCGAATGCTGAAATGGCCTCGCGGGGAGGAGCGAGGTCGTCAAGATGGAAGAAAGTAGCAGGAGAGAGGTTGTAGTTGGTAGAAAAGGAACGTGAGAGGGGGAAGAGAATAAGCCAGATTGACGAGGGGTCCAGTCCATACTCCAATCTCAGGGTCCTCCATTTTTGCCGTTGATTTTTCCCACCCGTCGAAATTGTTCTGCGCGCGTCGGACTTTTCTGGTTGTGTTCCCCGTCTTGTGCAGGGCCATCGTCTCGCGATCTTGATATCTCTATTGAAATTGCGACTGCATACGCCTACGGTTCGACGACGGCGACGTTGTCCGGTCTTTTTTCTTCGACTCGTCCTCGGCTTGTGTGTCGCTTGGGGCTTGTGACTGCATGTGGAATAAGCACTTAGGCGGGGAACAATAGGCTAAACCTTTGACCTCTTGTTGTGAGGTGGTTACATACCCTCATAGGCGAGTCAAAAATGACTCCCCTAACGCGATTTCATTCTTGTTCGCTAAGACTTTGATGGTGCCAGACATACATAATCCATCCTGCCACCGGCAAATGCCGTCTGCCTACGGCGCACGCCCCTCTGCCCTCCCAGCCCCCCTCGTCGACACCGTCCACCGCAGCCTGCACGTCGCAATTTTCTCCTTCGCCGGGACAAGGGATGGCAGTACTCTCGAAGAAGTCGCCCAAAGTAGAAAGTCTTATCCGGGACGGATATCCGATCGCTCAATTAGACCAAACATCTTTCGCAATTGCGTTGGTCGTCATCGTTCTTTTTTGATCGTCGCCCTTCGAACCTTGACCTGGCCTTCTGAAGAGGGTGGACCCACGCGCGTGCGTTTGGCTGGTGCGGCGGCAAGGCACGTATTCTTTCATTTCGTCTCGGCGTCTACTTT